AGATGTGGTCGGTGTCCCTCAGCCCGCAAGGCCTCTCGGGAGTCGTGGTCTGGGCTCCCGCCGCCCTGCTCGCTGCGTCGAGCGGGACGCGCGTATCCCGGCGTCAGTGTCCTCGTTAGTGAGGGTTTTTTTGAGCGATATTCCCGGGGTCTCTACTATCAGCCAGAAACTGGGCCTGGGTCTGCAGGTCGTCCGGGCGCTCGACTCCTGACCTGCCAGGCCCGGGGCCGTCCTCTAGTCCCTGTGATCCCGGGTTCTCCCAGGCTGGTGGTGGAGAGGGGAGGGAAGCCGGAGGAGCCACTCAACCAAGACGTCTGGGAGGGCTCCCCGGAGGAAGCGACCTCGGACTTGGGAACTGAAAGGACTGGAGTTCCAAGAATAGGGAGCCTAGGTAGAGAAAGTTTGGGCTAGCATGTTCAGAAAACTGGAGGCGGCCCAGGGCGCCAGGAGTACAGAGGTGGGGGGCGGGGGAGGCAAGGGTCAGACCTTCGAGAGCCCAGATGCCAGGTTAAGTCTGGATTATCCCAGGGACATGAGGTGTCAGGAAAGGAAGGACTGAATCCGTGGAGGGACTCGCCACGGTCCGGTCCTGGGAAAGGGGCCATGACCCAGGCGGAGGCCTGGAGCTCTCAGGGGCCTCAGGCATCTGATGCAATTCCGAGAATCAAGAGAATGCAGGTCCTGATCCCTCCTGTCCGAGTTTGAATTCCAGCTCCATTGCAGACAAAGTTCACAGTTCCCTTGCCTGTTAATAGAGATAATAACAGGACCTATCTCAGAGGAAAAAGGTGGAGGACTCAACCTTCTGTAGCACAGGGGCATGCCAGCCCTGGGGAGGCACTGCATGTCAGAATTGGGATTAAATGAGAGTCTGGCGGTGGGTTCCTTGGGTTTAGCTCCCAGAACTGGACCTGGGCATGGATTTGGCTATCAAAAGAGAGCCCAGCTTGTCCTTGTCCAGAGAATATCCAGGTCTCAGTCCAGGGCCGTCATCCCTGGTTCCTCAGAATGCTCGGGCAGTAAGGAGGCCACCCCAAATGTCTTGGGATGGACTGTTTCCTAACAGAGGGTCTTTAACCCGTAAGAGTGAGCCTTGTGTGGAAATGACTAAGCAAGTGGAAACCAGAGCGTGAATGTTTCAGGGTTGGGTTTGTGAGCAATTTCTGTGTTTGATATTTTATGTAAGGGAATTTGGCATGGTAGCGTATCAGATAAATCTAATTCCAGTGTAAAATATGTGGTTGAGTATTTGATTTTGCTAGTGATCTAGAGTTGGAAGGTATGAGATTTTCCAAAGTTTGTACTAATTGGAATATTAAAGAGAATTCACAAATTTAAGAGAAATGTAGACATTTAATACATCTACAGGAGTTTTAAAATACTTGATAAGGCAGACAACTGAAATGCTAAAAAGTAAATTTAGATTCCACGTGTATAAATGCAGTTTTAAATGCCTAAGGAGGTTTCAGTTTCTAAATGGGGCCATACATGACGAATCAAAACAATAATTTAGGGGGTGGGCATAGTTCAATGGTAGAGCACATGCTTAGCATGCACAAGGTCCTGGGTTCAATCCCCAGTACCTACATAAAATAAATAAACCTAATTACCCCCCCAAAATTTTAAAAAACAGTTGTTTGAATGACCAGATTTATAAATAAGATTAGTAATATGAATTTCACAGCCTGAAGTAAGGCTAGGGTTTTCTATTTGTAACTTGAATAAAGATGTGATGTTAAAGAAACTCATGACAGATACCAATTTTGTGCTCAATAGCTGCCTTCAAGTCCTCTCCGGTCCACACCTGACACTGAACCTGTAGTGTCAGCACCCCTGGCTCCCTCACAATTAGTGCCTCCCTCCGGCCCCACAATACCCTAGGTTAGAGAAAAGATTGGCACTTCCGTGCCCCGACAGTGCCACACGGCTAAATGTGGATTCCTGGGCTTTACACCAGAGCCTGGATCTCTGTGGCCTGAGAATCTTGCTTTTTAACTATCTCCCATGGAAGATACCCTGCCCGAGTGAGTTTCAGATACTGTCAACGAGGGCCTTCTGGCTGTACTTAAGCAGAATGTCAATTCCCCAGGTGGTTCATAGAGCGCTTTCTCAGCATCAGCTGGACCTGATCTCCCCTGGCTGGCCCTCTTTCCAGGGCAGCTTGACGCTCTCTCAAAGGGCTCAAGCAGGGAAGGGGAGGGAGGGAGCCACAGTGTGAACGGAGGCCCTGGGCTCTCATGGGTAGTTGGTTAGCTGTTGCTTCAGAACAAACCTCCTGAAAGCTCAGTGCTTTAAACAAATTGACATGTATTGTTGCTCGTGAATCTACAAGTTAGTAGGGGTTGAGGGGAGGAGGTACTGGTCCTGGCTGGCCTCACATTTTGGGGTCTGCTGGTTTCTAGGGTGGTTGCCAATGGCCTCTGCTGGGAGAGCAGGCTCTCCTTCACATGGTGTCCCATCCCAGTAGGCCACCCTGGACATGCTCATACTGGAGCCAGGCAGGGCTCCAAACAAGAGGGACCCCCAAGACCACTTGTGGTCCAGGCTCTGAACTGGCACACAGCCACGCCTGCTGCACCCTATTGGCCAAAGCAAGTCAGCCCAGATCCAAGGACTGGGGGAAATAACTCTGCTTCTTGATGGGAGATCACAAGGCGAGGAACCTGGAGATATTTTTGTCATCAGTATACTACACAAGGTCTGCCCTCAGGCCATAAGCTCAGGGGATGGCCCAAGACCTGCCCCTACAGGGATGTGTATCCAGCAGAAGCCCCAGGTCCTCTCAAGGCAGCTCTGAGCAGCTACCCAGTCCAGGAGGACAGGTACAGGCCTTGCAGAGTGCCAACCAGCATTGCCCCAAGAGCACCCTGAATTTGTTGGGCCACCACCTCTTCCTCTGCTCCAGAGCCAGTCTGATAGGCGAAGGTAATTCTCCCCTCCTGCCACAGTGCTTGCTCTGGGCACCCATGCAGGCCTTCCCCCACTGGAGGAACTGGCTCAGCAGAGCATCTTCAATCTAGCCCAGTGAGGCTGGAGCAGATGTTCACAAAAGACTTGGAGGACAGCTTCCCTCCTAAGAGGGCCACCAGGGAAAGAGGGCCCTTCTTCCTCCAGACATTGTGAGGCTGGAACTGCTACCAGCTTGGAGACAGAGCTCCTGGATCAGGTATGTCCTGCAGTCCCCCCATCTTTGGATTGCCAGTTATAGAAGGTAGTAATTCCCCTTTCGAAACCCTCAGAGCTCCTGAGGGACTCTCCTGGGACAGGTCATCATCAGTGTATTCAATCAATATCAGATGAAATGGGTTTGAATCATGCAACACAGGATGTAAGAAATGTCATGTTTATTTCTTTAAATGAAACTTAATCTGCTCCCAGCTCTAATTTGACAGGTGGAAAATTCCTCTTTTTACCAACCTGAGTTGTGGGAAAGTCCAAGGGTTCTGACACAGTTCAGAATACTGGGGGAGAACTCTGGGCTTCAGGCTGATCTTGTCACTCTGAGATGTCCACCCTCCTGGTCTGAATGTGCCCTGGGGTCTAGCCTCCCCCTGAGGTGTCATCTCCTCCGCAGACCCAAGGAGGATGTGGGATGTGGGGGTCTCTCTCCTGGACATCTACCCACCGGGCAGTTTCCAGCCCCTCCCTTACAGCCCCGCACCCCAAGGACTTGGCCATGCTCTCTCCTTCCCGGAGCTGCAGCACATGTGCATTATTCATGAGACTCCATTTCGCCATCAGGCTTTCAGTCGGCCAGCCTGTCCTCAAGGCTCCTCAAGGCTCCGGGTCTCCAGTCTAGTGCTGGGTCCAAGGACCCAGGGGAATTAATCGGTTCCTGTCTGGACCCCAGGTCAGCTCGTGCTTCAGTGATGCTGGGGAAGGCTGGGCATGCCCTAAAGTCACCCGGGCTTAGTTCTGGGTCCTGGCTCTCCATGCAGGTCACTTCACGTCTTTGCGCACCAGTGACGTCAGCAGCAGAAGGGCTGTGGGGTACTGTTCCTACAACCCTGGTCAGCTCCCCCACTGCCCGAGGTTTACAGGAGATAAGGCACGAGAAGGGCCAGTTCCTAGTGGCTCAAGGATCCTGGCCCCTTTCTCCCCCAATCGCACACTCACAATCACATACCCAGTGTTGGCGATCCCCGGATTAAGCCACCCAACTCCGAGCAGAGAACGGGGACTCCAGGTTTCCACAGGCAGAGAGGGCTCTGGGAACTCCGAAGAGGGGGCGCCAGGAATATCTAGCGCTAGGCCGTAGGAAAGGCCTAGAATCTGGGCTAGGGTGACCATGTTTAGCACATAAAATACAAGACGCCCAAATAAATTTGAATTCCAGATAAAGAGCATATACGTTTTTAGCGTTAGTTTGTCCCACGTAACAACTGCATTTTATTGGGCAACCCTGCTCGGGGCAGGCGGAGCCTGGGGCGGGGCGGGACGTGGAGC